GCAGCAGCAATAGCAGAAGCAACAGCAGCAGCAAGACCAGCAGCAGCAACAACAGTTGCCGAAGCAACAGCAGTGGCAGCAGCAGCAGCAGCAGGTGCAGCCGCAACGACGGTGGCAGAAACAGCAGCAGCAGCAACAGCTGCAGCAGCAATAGCAGCAGCAGCAACAGCAGCAGTAGGAGCAGCAGAAGCAGCTTGGGCGAAGAGCAGCATAAAGACAGAAAAAGGAAACAGACAAACGAAAAGAGACAAACAAAAAAAGAGAGAAAAACAAAAAGGAGACAAACAAAAAGAAAGGAGACAAAAAAGAAACAAAAGAAAAACTGACGCGGATTCGCTCGTCGTCTTCTTCTTATTTCTTCCTTCACCTCCGCCGGTGTCTCCTGCAAACACCCCCATAAACCCTAAACCCTAAACCCTAAACCATAAACCCTAAACCCTAAACCCTAAATCATAAGCGCAAGTCCCTAGTCGACTGTTGACAACAGTGCCACCTTGGCTGTTCCCTTTCGTTTTAGGGTTTAGGGTTTAGTAGGGTTTCGGGTTTAGGGTTTAAGAGTCGTTAAGGGCCCCCAGGGGGCCCCATCTATGTTCTCAAAAGGGCCCCCAACGCCTCTGGGGGCCCCCTTCCTCCTCTAGGGGCCCCTACGGTGCCCTTGGGGGCCCCCGACCCCCCACTGTGGCACTGCGGGCCCCTTGTAACATGCGGGGACCCCGCGCGGCTGCGGGGGGCCATATTTCCCCTTAGAGGCCCTCGGTTGCTGGGGGGGCCCCTGTGGCTTCGGGGGCCCCCAAGGGCACAGGGGGGCCCCTAGGGGGGCAGCGCGTTGTATGGGGGCCCCCTTGCGATTGCAGCCTCACATCGGGGACATCTTGGGCTGCTGAGAAAGCTCCTGCTGCTTCTACGACGGCTTCTCCATCTCCCCTAAGAAGTAGCAGCAGCAGCAGCAGAAGCAGCAGCAGAAGCAGCAGTTGCAGCAGCGGCAGTTGCAGCAGCAAGAGACACGGACAGGTGTGAGGCCCGCAGCAAGAAGATAACGCACATGCAGGGGCCCCAAAGGGCCCCCCAACGGTGTTGTGATGACCGTTGCTGTTGTTGTCGCTGCTCTTGCTGCTATTGCTGTTGCTGCTGCTGTTGCTGCTGCTGTTGCTGTTGCTGCTGCTGCTGCTCGCTGGGCAGAAGCAAGAGGAGACTCACCGAGCTGCAGGGAGGCCGGGTTGCTGCCCGTCCATAGCAGAAGGGCGGAAAGTGAGGGAGCTCCCGATTGAGAAGCTGCTGTTGTTGCTGCTGCTGCTGCTGCTGCTGTTGCTGCTGCTGCAGAAGGCCCTTCCCCTTTGAAACGGCTGCGGCGGTACTAGGGGCCCCCCACCAGCTGTAGTAACGAAGGCGCGAGCGAGCTGCTGCTGCAGCGCGGTGTACAGACAGACAGCAGCAAGCAGCAGCAGCAGCAGACGGCGATGGAGACACAGCGACATCTGCTGCAGCAAACCCTGAGGGCCCTAGCCCTGGTATCCCTCTTGATCCAGCTGCAGCTGCTGATGTTGCTGCTGCTGCTGCTGTTTTTCTTCTTGCTGCTGCTGCCTTCCAACTCACGGGGCCCCACACATTGGCCGCCGCTGCTGCTGCTGCTGCTGCTGCTGCTGCTGCTGTTACTGGCCCTTCAGCTGAAGACGTGGGCTTAGCTAGCTGCAAATTGTAAAATAAGTTAAATAAATAATTTGCAGCTGCTCGATGCCTCATTTATAGTGAAGACATTTCTGCTGCTGCTGCGCGGTTTCCACCGACTTGCTGTGGCGCCCTGCTGCAGCTGCTGCTGCTGCAGTTGCTGCTGTTGCAGTTGCTGCTGCTGCAGGCTTTCTTTGCTTCTATCACTGCAAAAAAATTAATAACAAACGATTCAGTTTCAAGCCCGGAAGAATTCGCTTTCTTTAAGCTGCTGCTGCTGCTGCCTCTGCCGTTGCTGC